GATTGAGGGTCACAACTTTTCCCTAACCTCTGGAGACTTGGCAGATAAAATCACCTTCCCCCAGGACTTCCCACAAGGAACCTACGAGGAGAAAAAGACAAGTAGTAGTGTAATTTACTCATGTAAGTAAATATATCACTGAAACAAAGAAGTGAAAGGTGCTTTGACATGACAAATGTTAGATTTACATAGGATTTTCAGTATCTGATGCACAGATAGTGCTTATAACAGTCACCCGCCATTATATAAGCAGCAGGAAAATACAGAGTGCTGCTCTTCAGACTAAAGCAATGCAGTTGGGGTGGGGTGGGGGGTGTCTTTGAATAATGGTTGAATAGTTCACAGTGAATATTGAATAGCATTTCAGCTTGAAAAGCCCATCCCTAATTCTTACCACTCTCCTCGTGCCTGAACCGCCTCTCTCCTCACCAGCCTCTTCTTGTCGTCCAGAGCACAGGCCACAGCTTGCAGCACTCGGGCCCGGAACGGCAAAATCTGAAATAGTGTCAATGGTGAAAGCCATTTTTTGTGTGTTTATAGTTTTGGATTAATGTAATGCCTGATGACAGGAATTTTACGTGGACCCAGTTACTGGAAGTCATTTAACACAGGGAGTGACATGCAGTATATGGCATTTCTGTAGTTTAGGAATTTCAGTGTGCAAGTCAAGAAGCAGAGCAGTTGAGTCAGGCTTAACCAGACTCAGCATTTGCAGGCTTCAGGTAACATCTTTGTTAGTGTATAAACTTCCTGTGTGAGAAGATTTTCTTCCAGTAATACATTAACAATGTGAAAAAACAGCTGGAAGTTTTCTCTGTTTGGATGATCGTGATAGAGCCCTTTTCTAATGCAGCCACATTTTATAACATTTTTTTAGAGAAACTCAGGACCACTCACACACCTTGTTTATACAATCTACAAGCCAGAAGTTAGGTTCTTCTTCAGTCCAAAGAGAAAATAAGCTCCTCCTCACTGTACAAACAATCCAAACTACTCCACCAAGAAATCCACATTTACTGGACAAAGGTGGAGGGGTTTTGCATGACTGTGTTGATCAAGACCCTAAATTAGGGGCATGACAAGGTTCTCAGCATCTACAACACAGAGTTTTGCCTTTTACCTCATGTATGGGGAAGCGGGAGAGGGCATGGATGCACCGCAGAGAGGCAGTCCTTACATTCTGAAAAGGAAACATGAAAGGAGCCAAACTGTTAAAAGCTCTGGCTAATTAGCATGGTCTGCTTATAAAATGGGTAGCTCCATCTGACTGATTAGGATATAGCATTTTGCTGTAACTGAGTATGTACAACATGCTACATTTTAACAGCAGTAATTCCATTCAATTTTATTTGTATGCCACCAATTCATAACAAAAATCATGTCAAGGCATTTTTCATAGAGGGAAAAACCCAACAAATCTCCCTTGAGCAAGCACTTGGCAACAGTGGAGAGGAAAAAACTCCCTTTAATGGAAACAGTGACGAGCTAACGAGTTAGTGAACTCTGTTCTATGTTCTTTTTCTTCAATACATGAAGGTTGTTCCAGCTTTCAGGGTAAACATATACCCCAATGTTGCCAATATCTTCCAGATTTACCTTCTGCTGCTTAAACTTACAGCAATCATGACAGAAGAATCAGTATAGAAAACACTGTCAGGTCCGACACCTCACTAACCATGGCTGGGCTACAGATGAGGGCCAGCAATCTGCTAACCAAAGCCTCTAGCTGCTGTATGAGGGCTGGTGGTGGGTCCATGAGGACGGGCTCCAGACAGGACAGGGTGGACAGCTGGACACCCTGATCAGGACATGACAAGGCCTCCAGCAGCAGCATCAGAAGCTAGACAGGGACAAACAACTTCACTTTACTCTCGCTTATTTTCTGTACTGTAGGTTTGTAAATTATCGCAGGCAGCCACTGTCTGCACTTCCAGAGACCAAACAATTCCTCAATTTACTCACCGCTGGTAGTTCAGTGACTTGAACCTGCTTCGGCAGTTTATTGACTATGTTGGACAGAGCTTTCAGGTAGTTGGGCTTCTTCTCTGAATCAGAGGCAAAGAAGAAATTTAACAAAATGTAATAAAACAGAGAAAGTCCTGCAGGGGAAGACCAGTGCAGCAGTGCAGAAATCACAATGTACTGTAGCAAATTGCTTGTTCGCTTTTGGAGATTTTACACACTGTCTTTCAAATCTCCTGTACATGCTGATTTAACCTGTTTTCAAACAGACAGACACTCAGCAGTGCTGGTGCCTTGTACCTTGGGAAGCTGCACTGAAGCCCTGCACCAACTTAGCTGAATTCTCGCTGAAGAAGCGCTGGCGGTATAGGATGCGTACATCGGCATGGCAACCACGATTTAGGACATCGACAGAATCGCTCATCAGCAGTGAGATGCCCTCGGCTGCCATTGGACCCAGATTAGTATCGTCGAGCAGAGAGAAGAGCTTCAGGAATACACAGTGTAATTACAAAACTAAGTAATGAAAACTAGGTAGACTCACTATCGTACAACACAACGTCCAATTGTGTTCAAACAAGAATGCAATTGAGTGAGTAAATGTTGCTGACAGCATTTACCTTGTCAGTCAGTTCTGTGGACAGGGGGTGGTACCGCAGAAGCAGTGCTTTGGCAACCTGGACACAAAAGCAACATTACTGCCTCTTACACTAAAATAACCTTTATTTACTTACAGTAATAAAGTGATTGAGTGCTGATGGTAAAATCTGTCAAAATAAAACCTCTGTGTATTTTCACATATGATCTGAACGAAAGGTGTAACGTATATTTGGCAAAAATTATTCTAGCAGTCCATGACAACTGATGATACAGCAGACATAAGTGAAACAGTTAACTCTTACCCAGATCATGAGCGTGAAAGCCTGTGTGCGTACAGGGGAAGACGCAGAGTCCAACTCACTACACACTCTCTTCATCATCCTCTGAATTAGGCTGTCGAGAGAATCACCTGAAGAAGAACCCAAACCATTGCTGCAACCTTTAACTGACAACACAACCTTGTGACATGTGACGGACGTTTAAAGACACAGACTGACCCTGTGGCCTCTTGTTAACCAGGCCGGCAAAGCACTTTGCAGCAGAGGTGTATGACAGCGGGTGGCTGCAGGTGCAACTCATGTCCTCCAGCTGTGACAGCAGCTGGTCTACGTGGGGCACCGCCACCTGGACGACACATAGGCATTGTCAGTGTACAGCTTCTGGAACTTAAGCTGTGATTTTTAAGACTTTCAATAAAAGCAGAATTAGGTGTTCAGGACTCACGCTGCGAGGCAACGAACACACACAACCCATGAGCAGACAAACCATCTGAGATTGGCTCCATGAGTCCCCCTGTGGCTTCTGGGAAAACATTACATGCCCTCGTAACAACAGTTTTAGCCAACAATGACAGAAAATGTATATAATCAACCCTTAGATTAGGAACTATAAACTATATGAGGTATACAAATAATAATTCAGTAAAACAGTTACATTCTTAAATTCTCTTCAGATATTTTTTATTCTTGTTCACTGCACAGTGAGGCAAAGATGACATGTTTTGGAGAAATGATTTTTCAATACAAATATTTAAACCCCACCAACATACAGTATGACAAACACACAGATACAATCACACATACAAACCTTGAGCAGCTGGATGTGTGAAGGGAAGGAGTTGTCGGGCAAAAAGGAGACATCACCATCCAGGAAGAGAGACACCGTCCTCGACGCCGTCTGTGCTGCCAATCTGACGACAAAAGGAAACCACACAAACCTCAGGTAAAATGGACTTACAGTGAACTGTACAGCAAATCAAAGAGACTGACAAAAAAGGTAAGAAACAGACAGGAAAGCGCAGCATATTCAGGTCTTCCAATTGCAGGTTTGAAAATAAAGATTTAAAAGCTATTTTGAAATCAAAAAGGAACATGAACAGTCAACTGGACAGGATCAGGTGTTAATGAAAACAAAAAAAGAAAAAGAACAAACCACAAAACGAGTGGCAGAGAGATCGTACTAACATTGGCTGCAGCCTGGAGCAGGAAGTACTGATGACAGAAACCATGGCAGACAGGACCGCCTCCTCTACCAGAGGACTACGCCGACCAGATGACCCCTCACCTGCAATATATGAACCAGTGGGGTGCGAGTGAGAAACACAGAGCGCACGAGGTCACCATCAAACATAAACCAGGAACTATCAGGATTATCTAGCGGTTTCTGAGATCGAGGATGATGGTGTACTGACCCTGCAGTGCTGCTTGAAGGGCCAATGACAGCAGACGAGGGATGATGATGTCATGGAAGCATCGCCCTGTCTCCTCAGTGTCCTGAATCTGCTCTGCTATCCTCTGGAGGCTGCGACACGCCATCACTACTTCCTCCACGGACAAACTGACAGCACCTGAAAACAACAAGAAATGACTCTGCTACTTCTATGGTTTTTTTTTTTTTTGTCTCACGATCATATGCAAGTGCCACGATTCCTCTGAACGTCTTTTAAAGTACAACAAGACATTTCATTGTTCAGAGAATGTGTAATGTACATTTCATTCACATTTCAACTGATGCAATGAGGCAGTCTTGAAGTGTCAGATAGCAGTGATCCCCCCAGTGATGGGTAACATTACTGTCCTGCCTGCCCATAATTTTTTTAACTACTAGATAATTTCCCCACCATAATTCAGCGAAATGGAACTGAATTACAAAAGATGGCACATGAAGGCAATGCTGCCTCAAGGTGTTCTGACACTACACTTGGCCAAATGCATTATGCTTCTTCTCACAGGTTATCAGTTTATACCCCCTGAATTCTTCACTTTCAGCTGCTGTGTTAGCAGTAACTGAGTCTCTGTTAGGTGACTTACCTGTGTGTGCTGCACTCAGCAATTCCAGGAGAACAGATGTGCTCTCCTGGACAACACTGGGCTGGGTGGACACCGCTGCCAGAGCAGACAAACACCACTGGGGCACTGCATGACGGGACTGTAGCTCAGGAGCTTCTCTGTTGCTGTCTTGCTCGATGGGCCCTGAGGAGAGGAACAGGTTGTCAACTCATTCAGGGAGCTAGTACTGGTACAATATAAACAATAATATCTGTATAGTGTTTCTACATATTCTATGTTTCATGTACAGATGTCCCATCTTTAGTATATGCTTTTCACTTGCCAGAGAACATCTCCTTCTTTAGTCTGGGGATCAGTTTAGTAATAAAGGCTGCTGGGTGCAGCTCTGCTAAAGTTCCAGCACACTCCACCACAGCAAGACTGCAGGTAGAAACAGGACAAAGACACAGATTTGGTCAAAAATGGGAAAAAGAACGCAAGCTAAAACTACTTTTTCTGTTTTGTTTTGGCTGTGTGTCTTCTAAATCCAAACAGTCAATGGAAGAGCATATGAGGATTAAGGTACTGTTAAATCAACTGAGTATCTGTGTTTTAAAGACAGAAGTAGTAATACAGGGATCAGATAGATGACAGAGGAGAGGAAAAGACAGATGGAAGCTAACCTGACTTTCTCATCCTCTTCTGTCAGCAACAGTCTGATCAGGTGATCGACAGCCAGCTCAACATCAGAGTCCAGCAGCAAACCTGAGAGACAGTATATGTGTAATATCTGAAACAATGCTGCATATCTGACAAACACTGACTCTGCTGTAAATGTAAGAGTTTATGGCATGTCACCTGTTTGTTGTGCCAGTAATGTGAGCACAGAGGTGGCTGTGATCTGCAGACTAGAGTTGGTCTCTGACAGAGCAGAAAACACCAGGCTGCACAGAGACTGGCGGAAGGGTAGAAACACATTCTCTTCTAATGCGGAGGGATGAAACACGGACAAAAAACAGAAAGGGATGCCTTAAAATCTTGGCCTGATTTGAACTTCAAGGAACGCAAACTGTCTTCAGTCTCCACGGTCATGTACACATAGCAGCTAAACAGTATTTAAAACAAAGAGAACAGCTAAATTATCACAGTCTAAACAAACACAAACACACTTTACAGTAGATCTGGAAAACTCACTGTTTAATGCCAAGACAAATTACATACAGCAAGCTTCTCTTTTTATTTGTGTCATTGTAGAGGATGTTTGACATGAAACAGATGAGCAATGAAGACCTACGAGGTTTATGAAGGTCCACACTGCAGCAGGGCAATTATTCAGTAATATTGTTGATAACCTTTCAAAATGATTTCACAGTGGGAATTAATTGCATATAAAAATTCAAATCTGAAATAAACGTGATAAGTAATATAAATTAAAGATTTTTACCATTATTTGTTGACATTAAAGTGGATGGCGACACAGCTATAAGAAGAGCACCAACCAGGAGTGTATTTGATGTCTTTAGTCAGGCAGAAAAGAATGAAGTGCTCACCATTCTCTGCAGACTGGCTGGTTTTTACTGACTGGATGAATCGCTGTATCACTTCCAATAATGTCCGTCTATGAGAACACTGCTCAGAGAGAGAGAGAGAGATTTGTCAAGCTTATCATGAAGTTGCTGATATCATTATCGTATAAAAATACCGAGACTGGTGCCGATACCAGCACAGAATTCATGAATAAATGAATGAAACTAAAAGAAGAAGAAGAAAAATCCCTCAAAAATACAGTCGACATCTTACAAGTGAACATCAGCCGTCAAACTTACTTATGCCAAATTAAACAAACTGGATGTTAGTTTTCCTTATTTACCTGGGTTGTGTTGTTATACTGCTCAGTAAGCAAAGGCATGACAGCAGCTGTTAAGATGGGGCTCGCCCTGCTGGAGGCGCTGCAGGCAGCCTGTAGCAGCTTAGCGCTGGGCCACACAAGCTTCAGGTCCGGCTCACACAGGTGATGCTTGCAATCTGAAACAACAACAACAACCACAAGCTCACCAGACATGTCTCACAGCGTCACACTGATACATCAGGCCTGATGCTGACTCAAACCCTAAATTCCATTATTATAGTCAAGATGACCGACTCATGGATTATAAACTTTATATTAAGGCTGCACTTTAATATATACAGTAGGTGACTTAAAGCTGTGATATTAGTTGTTAAGATACCCTGTTCTAACACCACTGAGAGAACGATCCATGATTTGAGGGTAATACTGTGTCTAGTGGACTGTTAACATGACAATACAGTATGAAGTATGAACTAACTGCTGGTTAAAACTCAACAGCTGAGCAGCACTGTGGTGCAACTTCCTGCTCATCTACTCAAGCAGTGCTACACTGAAGCAAACCCTCTGTCTGACCTGTTGAGTTCAACAGTTTGTACATCTACAACTCCAACTCCTACCACCTTCCTCTCACTCTGACCACATCAGGGCACTTTAGTTAGTTATTTAAACAAGTCTTTGCCAGTGTTGTTGTTTTTGTGTCATCCAACCCGACCTTTAATATGACAAACCTCTGTATTTACAGCCTCAGTAGCCCTGTCACGGTTGTTTTTATATTGTTTTGACATGTATTTATTCTCCTCTGGAGTTATGTAGAATTGTGCAGTTTATTTTTTTATTATTAGGTATGTACGTTAGAATTCAACATTTCACCTTTGAGAACCAGATCCAGGAAGATGCCGAGAGAGTCTTCAGAGTCAGAATTGAGAACTGAGCGAGACAGACAGGAAGTGAGTGCGGTAAGAGCAGCGAGGCCTGCAGACTCAATCCTCTCACTGGATGTCTGAAACACCTGCAAGCAATAAAATAATGTTTCACTTCCGAATCACTGTGATGGGTGGTTAAACAGTGGTGGAAAAGTTTACATTGATGCAATTCTGGAACTCATTTGTTAGATTTCACGTGATTTAACCGCCTACAGGATGAGGATCTTGTACAAACTCTCTTACAAACACCAGGAAAACTGATGAATATCAACATTTGATCTGCCTTCATCTTGTTTTTCTTGGCTTTCATAGCATGAGAAACTGCATTTGTTCCTTTCTTCCAAGAAAATTTTTTATTTGGATCATTTCCGCTAGTTAGTCTCAATTATATTCTCACTGCAAGTGAATCTTCTCTTTTGTTAGAGCTTGTTTTTCATTATTTCAGCTGGATAAACAATAGAAACTATTGGCACAAACACTGCAGGGATTGAAAAAACTTGGGTGATGTGAACACAAGATATTTCTTGTTGTTAAGAATGAATTGGGTGAAAGGACGTTCTACACTTAAACTATAATACTCAAAACACACACTTCAAGATGTTAAATTATGTCCTAGCAAGGTTTAGGAGGTCATATACAATTCACATATACTTTCTGTAGCAAACAAACTGCAAGAACACTTTCAAACAAACCTCTCTGCGCAGAGACGCCCACAGTCCCTCGAGAAATTCTGCTAAGTCCTTGTGTTCATACTGTGAGACACAAGCAGTCTGAAAAATGATGAAAAGTGATAAGCAGCCAGGTACAACGTTTCTTTAATTTATACTCCCATCAAGAGCTTTTAAGTGCTAGATGCTGCATCAAATTAATTAATTATACATATAACCCTCTGCTTTTAGCCTCTAAGGGGTTTCACTGTGGTTGCTATGGGTGACAACACTGCTTAAGGGAACATCAGCTTTCTATCACTTCACATTCAGGGATTTAAATTTTTTGCAGCTGGAGTTATGAGCTGGGAAATTTTCAGTCACATGTTAAAATCTCCAGCTCCGTGTGCTAGTGTTGTGGCCAGAGGCTCAGGGGGTTTTTGCAAATGAGTCAAGATCCTCACCAGCGTCTGCAGCGAGTCCAGCTTCGAACTCTGAATGTCTGAGTCCAGCTTCTCGATGATGAGAGGTAACAGAAACTGCATAACAGAACATAAACCCCCTTTAGATCCGGATGGCCAAATCTCCTCAGGTCACAAAATTTCCATCCCACCAAACAGCAAACTACAAATATAAACTGACATTGTCCTACCTCAGCAAACTTTGGTGTCCCGGTGAGGATGGCCCTCAGCGCCTCAATTAGTTCCTCTTTGGTGATGCCATGGGGGTCATTGGGAGGCTGTGGTGGTTATGAGAAGATGAGGGTAAACCAAGAACAGACAGATTAATTAATTAAAGCTCATATGATACATTCAGGTAACTGTACAATAATGCATTTTTGATTCATTTCTGCTAATTCAATTCAAATGCAAGTCAATTTCCAATGATCCAAATTTAAGAAACTTCAAATTTAGATGTGAAAGACCTACAAATCATTTTAAGGGCTTGTTTTGTTATAATCTGATAATATTGGAATCACAATGTCACATCAGAAGTGTTGTGCAATGTGCTGTTTTGCTCCAGAGAGTCAACAAATGAGCTGTGATCATCTGTGACGCACAGATGGGAAATGTGCGTGACCCGGCCAGGAGGCAGTCACTGTATTATTGTTTTCTAAAGAGTTCATCTGAGGTCGCAGGAAGTCGGTGATGACTTTTCTGTCTGCTATGCTCTCTTCTTTCATCAGTTCCCAATGCAAAGCAGCTGAGTACGGAGGGACTTACAGGGGTGAAGTCAATGGGGAAATAGCAGGACGTCACTTCGAACAGCTCTTCTGTAAACGTACCTGCAGACAGCAGACGAGGCACTGATGGGTAAACTGTGCATTGAACAGTACTGGGCTTAGATAACAGTCAGCGAGGGACACAGAGAGGAAACAACAGGAAGAGAGAGATGCTGTACTCTGTGCATGGGTGGAGCCAGGGGTGGCACCAGCAAATGCCCAGATTCTGACTGGCCACCCCTGCTAGAGTCAAAATGTTATGTTTGTCAGTATTAATGAATTAAAACAATGACAACAATGACTGTGCAGCAGTGATGACCCCAGCTGAGATTAAATAAGGAGTGCAGCCAAAGTTATCTTAAAGAAAAAGTACTGAGTCTTATCTATATACCAAATAAACAATTTGATTCTTAATAATGTATGGTTTATTATTTTATAAAACTACAGTTTTCATTTACTTTTTACATGAAGTTCAAATGTGCCACCCCTCTCTGAGTCAGTGCCCCAGCCTGGCCGCCCTGTCTTACATTTTCTAGATCCGTTCCTGACTGTATGTGCTCACCTAGATTGTAACCTCGGCGGATGATGTTGTTTGCGATCTGGAAGGCCAGCAGGAGGTTGCGAGGATCCCTCTCACCGTCCATTGATTGAATAAAACCAAACACAAAGTCTGCTCCCAGACCTTTCAGTTCTGTGGATTAATCACACTGATTTATCCAGTTCTGTAAAACAGCTGATGGAAATCATTTTTGGAAAGCAGTGACAAAATCCTGACAGACAGTAAGCTGTATGAAGTAAACAGCAACTAACATTGGTGCCGCTTCCTCAAAAGCTGAGATGTTGTAGGATGTTGTGCATAAGCTAAATATATGTTCAGGATTGTTTAATTTAACATAGTCTGGACCCAAACTCACACAGGATTCATTTTATAATATGAAACTGAGAATAAAAACAAGTAAATTTATGATCAAGCAACCAGCAAATGTTTGACCTAAGGAGATTTCTCAGTTGCCAAAAGCATAAATTTTTTGTTAGACAATTTCATTTTTTTTTAAATTTCATTTATAAAGGCACAGTACATCATAATTCCCGAAGCATTGTGTTTACCTGTTGTACATGATAAAATGGGGAGGTCACACTTTGTCACCTTACATGCTAGCTTTTCCATTATAACAACCGACAGCCACACATATAAACACTCCTTTGTCAGCCCTCTATTTTATGTACTGTACAGTACGTCTATGCAAAGCATACAAACTTTGTTAGCTGCTAAATAAAGCAGGACCAGGTGTGATAAGGCTGATAAGAGTGCAACTGCCCTTAGATGAGAAGAGACCACAGTGATTAATCAAGTCACCGATGAGATTTTTGATTTCAAAATTCACTGTTTTGAGTCACCTACATCTTCAACACAGAACCTTTTTTTATTTTTCAGCAGAGCTCTAAAGTAGGGTGGGGAACTGTTAGTGCCTTAATCTAGTAATTCAACTAAGATGAATCCAACTAAAACATGCTCATTGTCTGTCTCTTACCGGCCTCTCTGGTCTCCATGAGGTTGATGAGCATGTTGTAGACACACGATCTCTCTGCCAACATGAGAGACTGGGGGAAAACACACAGAATTCCATCATTTAGAAATGCTTTCAATGAGTCACGTTTACCTGCAAAGCATATGTAATGAAAGAGGAAGCACTGTGCAGAGCACAGAGGAAACAAGAACATCTTCACACACTCTACAAAGCATGGTCAAATAATGCACAGGTGTATGTTTGCATGTATAAGGTCTAAGAGACCATAATATACAATTCAGATTCACTGCTGTATTAATTCTTCACACAAAACACTCAGAGTGGCATCACACTAACACAATTCTGTATATATATATTTTTTTTTTTTTACATGAAACCCGTTGCTGGTGTTTTAACATATTTATTATAATACTATGTCCAGTCTTACCTGTACATGAATGTCTTGGAACAAAGATCTCAGCATGGACACAGCGGAGCCAGGAGGTAATACTGTACATTTTGTCTGGAAAATGTGCATGGGGGTCACTGGCATCAGACCATCACAAAATCATTTTCAGAAAATGTAGCAGTTAGTTACACACAGACACTCACCAGTGCTCTGAGCCCCTGTAAAAGAGGTGGTATGACGACATAATGGTCCTTGAGACGGTTTTCGTAGAAACAAATGAGCACTTCCACTGAGGACAAGGACAAATAAAATATCACTCTCTTTTGAGACACATCATCATTTTTATGTTAAGTGCAGTACAAAAAAAAAAAACATATTTTAATGTGACTTGATTCATTTTTCCCTTTTCTTCATTCACTGATAAAGTATTCTACCAAAATACTCCATTTAAGAATTGATGATTTAAAAATGATTTTAAAATACCTTTGAATATATTCTGATTATTGAGAAAATTATCAAAAAGTAAATAAAAGACAAAGATCAATTATAACAAAATCAGTGTACCTTCTCTCTCTGTAAGATCTTCATAGCAGTACTGCAAAACCTCGGACAGCAGCTGGACTCCTCTGGCTCGAGTTTGAGGTTGTGAGCTAGTCAGACTCAGTCTACAATAGAAAAGAAAATGCAAAATGAAATGACAACACAATATTTTAAGAGCATCTCTAATTTAACTAAATGATTTCTTTTTATTAACAGAGGGCTGTGATATCAAATTAGCATACTGTCAAGGTGAAATGTAGCTATTTTAAAACAGCTGGGTAATACTGGCCAAATGAAATATATAGATGTTTCTGAAAGTTGTGAATCTGAATCGCTATGATGTAAATGAAAATGCTGACAGCTCACCCCAGTGCTTCCACCAGCTGCAGTATTGTAAACTGCCCATCTTTGATACCTGAAAAGAAAACCAGGTTTACTGAAATGTATTCAACACTGAGAAGATAACTAACTACAAACACGCAGAGAAAATTAACCTGACACCACATGAGGATAACTAAATTATCTCTAGTAGTTACCTACACATTAACTAGCAGCATCGACAGGGTTCATATGTACAGAGTTCACCGACAGGATGCTTTTGCAGTGACCCAAACACAGCAGCTAGCAAGCAGCAACAGACTAGCACTCAAATTCACAATGCTAATACAATGGCAGTACAACAAAACACTAGAGAGACATTAAATGTAACTGGTAAGGTGAAAAAAATAAGCAGATTAGTTTGTGTATTTTATGAGACTGTAACGTCAATCCACACAGGATGTTGTGGCACTAAGTTAGCTCGGTTAGTTAACCATAATGCGTGTTGCGCATCCTTGAAAAGAGGATTTAGCAGGCCCTGCAACATTTATTTCACACTAGCCTGTTATCGAAAGGTGTCGAGGAAAATAGGACGAAAACCTACATACCTGTTGCTGTGTCTTTGGCTTTGCTGTCCTGCAGTCCCGAGACAAACTCTTCGACCAGAGACAGCAGTACAACACTGTCCGCGGCCATCGTATCCCCGTAATGCCACCGCAACCACGCATGCGCAATAAAGGTAAACCGTAAATGTTATTTGTATTAAATTTTTTAAATAAAACAGAACTGTTAGCTTGCAACACATTGTTAACTTTAGACGATTTGTATGTTGCATAGTTAGACGTTTGCTGAATTTTGAAATAACCGCAACGTTTAGTTTTGGTGATGCCTTCAGGTGCTTCCCGGATCCACAAAACTGCAACCGGGACAACCTAGTGTATTTCACTATTCAGGGATGTACCACAGTATTTTCAAATGAATAGTATTTCAGTTAAATTGAGTTTATTTTATTTATAACTAAAGCAACAAATTCAAAGAAACAAAGTAACTGCATATAATGGCTAAGTAATACCTCTGTCGATATCGATTTTATTTACAGTCTCCATTTATAATGGTTAGCCGTCCTGACGGAAGAGAACACAACACTTGTCCTGCGTGCTGACGCGCAAGCGTCAAAAAGTTCGGTGCGCCAGCTCTGCAACTAGTCATCTTTTACCAGCAGAGGGAAATAATGTTTAGGGGATTTAAAGGAGAATATCTGAAGATAACGTCAAAGAATCGAAGAGTTACACCGAGGGCTGTGGGCAGCTGTAACCATCTATCACATTTGGGAAACAAAGTCAACGTACAGGGAAATGCCCACGATTAAGTTTGTCTTTACTGCTGTGATAGCTAGCTGGCTGGCCCTGTTAGCTTTTTAGCGAGGAAGGTGCGCGCACACTGGACTGGTGGACATAACCCAACTTAATAGGCAAGTTAGATAGATACACACTGCTGGGGATATTTGTCCTAACGTTGAAAAACAGTTTGGCGCGTTGTGGGTTGGGCTATCAAACTCTAGGAGAGGTAGTGCCTGCCACGGGTTTTGAATCTTTTTGGGTCCGCGTCAAACACTGACAAGAGAAAACGCACAGATTTAACATTAGGGAAAAGATCAAAGTTCAACGCTATCAAACAGCGATTCCCTGTTTGCCATTACGGATGACCCATCAGGCTTGTAACGCTGGACTCGCTACCCATCGTCCCCATCGGACCTAGTTCATCTTCCTTCTCCGTGATGGGCCCCCTGTTCAGCTAGTGAGAGGCGTGGAAACCATCTGCAGCTATGGGAGGTTGTGTGGGGAGATACTGGGAAGGCTGGGAGGACTCACAGAGCCGAGGCTCCTCTAGGAATGCTGGACGAGGAGGTAAGACTACAGTGTGTGCTTCAGGGTGCTTTACTAAATTGCAACAGTTTAAAATGTATTCTTGCAACACCACTACTTGTGCCCTCACCTGGTCACTTTTCATCTAACTGATGGCAACACAAGATCATTCTGGTTTTGACATTTCCTGAAATGCTTGCCACTCACTCTGTCCACATGTATTCCACTCCTGCATTAGACTACCACTCAGATGCATCTCAAATGACCACTTGTGATTGGGTTTCATTCACCTCCGTGCTCACCTTAGTTTGTCTGAGGGCAAACTGTGACTGCTGGTAAACAGCATAAAATACACTACAGTCGAACACCCACACAGCATGTGGTACATTGCTCTGGGTGGTCTTTCTCTTTGGCTAGAAATGCATTTGCATTCACTATGCACTATTTTATTACATTAAACTGCATATGAGAGGTTGGACCAATTGTTTACATGGTTTAGCTCGTGTGAGTTAGATCATAATCATACAGTAGTACAAATGCTGAAGTGTCTGCTATAAGAAGTTGCACAACTGCAAATAAAGAGGAAGGATGATCATGGGTAGCAGTTTGCATTTGGGATGGACAGTCACATTTCTGTAAGGTTGGGGGAGACAGAGTTGTAAGGAGACTGGTGTGTTTCCTTTTCTTGGAGAAATTTCTGTTTTTATTTTTGCCAGTGTGCACCATGTGGGTATAACTCCCCTGTGCTATTTAACTTCAACATCTGGATAAATTCTGCCATCCCAGAACTACATCTAACATTGATTATGGTCACAGTCACCTACACTACACCTACATTTTCCCAAGATTGCATCTACAACAAGGCTGACATTTTGCTCACCCAACAATTTCAAGCCACACTTTTAATCCAACAGCAGTTAGCTTGCTGGCCAAACTGCTATCTTTAAAAGTGGTATTATGGTGTGAACACCATATATCAGTACAGTTAGGGGCCAGCAGGTTCCTGAAGTTGCTGATATGCTGATTGATCACTTGCTGACTTGAGTCCATGTCCATTACCTTTCCGGAAGATAATGGTCCCCTAAAGATAAACACTGGCGAACCGTCACATTTTGTTCTTTCACATTTGTGTTGGATAGTGGCTGCTTCAGCACTGAGCAATAGTAAGTCTTATATTTAGAACCCGACTAAATTGAAGGACATAAGCACCATACAGCTGGATTGAAAGACTGCATGAATTTCTGTATAGTTTTGACCTCTGACAACAATGTCAGGTATATTTAGCATGACCTATTATGATAGGTGGGTTATGGGAAACATGCTGATTAGAGGTTTTACAGACCTGTAGGTTTGTGAATGTTATAACCTCATCTAAGATAAAGCACGTTTGTCATTTCTACTAAACACTCCACTAGTAAACTTAATATGAGATCAAATGTTATTTTACTGAAAACTGAATATAAGATTTATTTATACTCTCCTCTCTTGACAAGTTAAACTGTCCCCCGAATCAAATTTACTTTGGAATAAGGCTCGGCAAAGAGAAGTTACTGTCACATTCAGCATTTCCATAGCAATAAAGTTCCCATTATAGCTGTTAAGAATCCAGCTGTTATCTTTTTGGATGCAGGTTCCAGCCTCTCTGTTACTTACTGATGAACAGTTTTGTAGTCAGTCTTTTTCTAGCAGGAACCGTCTGCAGTTGCAGTTTACATCAGAAAGACAGGGCATTTTTAAAAAATTGATTCATGATTTATCTTTTTTTTGTTACCTGCCAAAAGTAGCCCGTGGATAGATTATTTAAACTTAGAGCTGTCACAGTTGTGATTCCCTGGCTTCTTGGTGGTGGTTCATGGTAATTCTCCACCCTGATTGGCATCAAGACACTCCCTACTAGAGGACGCTTCATCAACAAGAACAAGTCACATTATGTCCTGCTGCATCACCAACTGACTTCTCTAAGGCGACTGAATCTGCTCTGCCTGACCCACCATCATGCAGCCAGCCAGCCAGCCAGCTAGCCAACCATGTGAGATGAAGAGGTCGAATACAAGAGAAGGCCAATGTGCTCTCTCTCTCTATTTTTCACAGTGTGGGTTGATTCTTTTCAGTTTTCACCATGCAGGAAAGATCTTATACTTATTTTCTTTAGATGACATAGCTGTGTGACTTGTGTTGAATTATAACATATATTAAATACAATACATACTGTGCCACATTCCTCCAGGGGGAGAAAAGCCTAATTTGCATCCTTAAAGCTGGAGGAATACACTCTTGTCGAATAAGACTGGACAAACTACACCCTGTGTGTCTGAAAAGCTAAGATGTGTACTCTTTTGGAGCAGGCAGCATGATTTGAAGATCAAATGAGAAGTAGGTCAAAAGAGAGGGAAGGGAAGTGGTTGTTAGTAATAAACAGTGAGAGAAAATCAATTGTTGGATTCAGGTGACTGACATTTCCTGGTGCGTGTTGAAAGCCAGCTCTGTGCCACTGTAATTACAAATGCAAAGTAAAAGGTACAGATGGTGCAGTGGTGGGCAAACCCTCATTATTCCATAGTTTTTTGAAGAGTCAATTTCTTGGCCAGTTAAAATGTCAATGCATTAGTAGCCTATTTCCCACCCTTACTTGTCCTGTCATATGGAGTGGCTTTCTCTAATGCTGCTGCTGTTATTTGTTTTGGCCATGTAGTTATAGCTTTAGTTATACTCTCACTGTTTGACTGCCAGCATACTCCTTCATGTGCTTTCTTGTCAGGTGGATAAAAAAGTTCATTGCATTGCTATCGGATGCACGAACACTATCTTTTAATGCTTTTTAAGCACCTGTTGTTTGCGCCTTGTCAGATTTGAAAAATCCCAACCAGCTCCATATTACTGATGTCAAATTCTTTTTAAGGACCAACTCCTCCATGTTGACATCCATGGCTCTGCATTGCCAAATAGGGAGTCTGAAAGCACGTTCATTCTTGTCAGAAACTTGTGACGACATACACTGAGTTTGCTTCTGGTCTTCTGAGTCTGTTTACAAAGGTAGCATTATGGGTTCCACAGGAGACACACACACACACACACACACAGTGTGGAGGCTTACTTTATCTTGGGTTGCATGGATGAGACTACACAGGAAGTATGTTTTTGTTAGTGCTTGTGTGTCCTTAGAAGATACCATTCTACATAGATTCAGTTTGAGTCGGGTTAAATATGGCACCCCCCCCCATTTGTCCTCTCTTGTGCTCCAGTGCACGTTCACCGCTGTGTGTATTTAAAGAGGAGCACCAAAATCACCGCACATTCATTGTTTGCCTCATGTCAGGGGAATGTGGGAGGCATTTACTGTAAATGTCATAACAGGGCTAAAGCAACATTATGTGTTGCTGTCCTTTCCCCAGAAACAGGAAATCCTTATGTCTGTGGGGTGTGTGTAGGCAGTGTTGTGTACACTATGATCCTCACATTTTTTATGATACATTTCATTAAAATGCATAAATACAACACTTCAGTGCAGCATCATCGCGTGGCACCTGCTGTTATGAGCCCAGCAGAGTGAAAACGTACTAATAACGCATCAACATCATCATCTCTAGTTTGCTGTGCAGTAGCTGTGATGCAATATGGTCATGTTCATTCAGCCAATCACTTCCTGTTGTTACTGCCAGCTTTTCATACACACTATCCACCATTTATTTGCATAAAATGTTGCCTTTTCCTAAATGTCTCTACCACTTGACCATGATGCACTTTGTGCACTGCATTCTTTTACTTACAGATTTTTGTCACGTATAGGGGTGAGCTCACTCCACAAAAGGACACGATAAAAGTACAGTGATAGCACAAACAACACAGGTCTTAAAAATGCAGAGGTATAATAGAGCAAGATGCAATGCTTAGCTCAGCTGCTCTTTGGAGTCCGTGAAAATATCATAAATATATAAATTCAATTATATGTTTATTACTGAGGTCATAGTTAAAGGTGGTGTTGTACTGGGCTACATTATATTAAGGTGTTCTTAATATAATGACCCTCTCATATATGTAGCTAGGCAGGACAAAAATATACAGACACCTCTAAATATAGTGTATCACCACCTTGTTTATATTGTATCTGTACCTACATTTGGATGTGCGCCTTATATGGCAATATATAGACCCCATTATGTTAGATATTGCACTTTAATTCCTATTAATTTCTTAAAGACAGCATATGTGTACTGCTACTTTTGCTGAGCAGTATGGAGGAAGCTCCTTTGCTTTGCTTGGGATTCAGTCTGCTCCAAGTGCTAATCCTACACCACTCCAGGTCCGCCTTCAAATTGCTCATCCTAAACTGCCTGCACTATAAATAATTTGTTTGTAACAAAATCAACCTCTTGCATGTGCTCTATGTCCTTTCTACTCTTCATTGGCCCCAGTCCTCCTTGACTGGCATTTCTGCCTCTCAAGCTGTTCTAATAGGTGATTTTAGAGGTTACTGGGAGTGCTTTATGACAGCTGTAAATGAATTGGCTTACAGTTGGCACTCATGTAAAACATTCACTTTTGTAGCACAGAACACAACTCAGCCTTTTTCTGTTAACAGAAATGTTGCAGCAGCAAGACCAAACTAGTAAGGAAAATCAAACAAGTGGGTAACCATAACTAGCAGAATTAGTGATGCTGACTTCTTGTCTGTTTTTTTTGAATGGTAGGAAACACAGATAAGGTTATGTAGTCAGATATAGGCTACACATGCAGATGACACAGTAGGGTGGGACGGGACATTATATGTCTGGTGACAGCTAGCATTTCTCTCTGTAGCCAGCTCTGTTTACGACTGTAAACAGGCTCACATTAATCATTAATCAGTCTGCTTGTTCTCTGCATTCTCTCCACAGTAAGAAGATTGAAAATCTGCATATAGACAACAAATAAAACAATACTAACTACAGTCCTTAAAGGTGCCCTGTAGAGTTTTTGTTCATTAGTAGCGCTGTGGAGCAGTGTTTTTAAAAATGGGTCCCCAGAGCATTCAATATGTTTGTTAGGCTTGATTTATGGTACTGCATTAAATCTACAGCATAGGTAAAGTGTAAACCTCTTCCCCTACGCCGGCAATCGGGCAAAGGCGGGGTACACCCTGGACAGGTCGCCAATCGCAGGGCTAACACATAGACAAACAACCACACACACACATTCCTATGGGCAATTTAGAGACACCAATCAACCTAGGCTGCATGTCTTTGGACTGTGGGAGGAAGCCGAAGTACCTGGAGAGAACCCACGCAAGCACAGGGAGAACATGCAAACTCCACACAGAAAGGTCCCAAGTGGGGCCCGAACCCGTAACCTACTCGCTGTGAGGCAACGGTGCTAACCACTGCGCCACCGATAATTCTTCACTGGCTAAAAAATGTATAAAGCAAGAAAAAAACTTTGGAAACTCCCAGCGTTAAAGGCTTATGTATGTAGAGCAGAATGGGACCCACATCATGCAAAACTTGCCTGTTATCAAACAAAAACAAATTCTGTTGTATTTTTTTATACACTAATTTCTCATCTTGTCTTTCCCATCATAGGACGTAACGAGCCTCTGAAGAAAGATCGTCCCAAGTGGAAGAGCGATTACCCTATGACAGAAGGCCAGCTACGCAGCAAACGGGACGAGTTCTGGGACACGGCACCAGCCTTTGAGGGTCGTAAGGAGATCTGGGATGCCCTGAAAGCTGCTGCTGTGGCCCTGGAATGTAATGACCATGAGCTGGCCCAGGCTATAGTGGACGGAGCCAGTATCACGCTGCCACATGGTGAGGACAGAAAACACAGTTTATAAAAACACATACTTGTTGCAAAGGATGTGACGAGATCTCGCGCCATGATATTATCATGATGCTATTTCTTGTTGTGGCAAAAGCTGTCTCAAGATATCAATAAACAAAAGAACCGGGCCAGTATGATGGACTGTGACCATATGTTCAAAGTAGTCTGGCAAAAATGCAACTGGTTGGTCGGGAGGTGGGGGGGGTGAGGCATTGCAGGGGGAGTGTTGTAGGCATGTACAATATGGCCACGTTGTGACAAGTCGACGTGAGTGGCTTCATTCATGTTTCCAGCTCTGAAGTGTCTGTTGTGTTTTGGTTAGCCATGCTGCTAACATAGCCTATGAATGCTCATGCTAACAAGGTAAACAAAAGAGTTTTCTTCCTGTGGGCGTCCACGTCCCCAGTCATCCCTTGTACACGATTAGTCAGAGGGCTTCGTTTTTTCACACCTTTGAAGCTCAGTCTGAAGCTCATGCACAACTGTGCATAAGGTCTGAAGAGACTCATGTGAAATCAGGAGAGAATCCAGTCAGTTGAGTTTGTGACAAAACCTTTTACAGCGCCTGTATATTGTCTTTTACTGCACATGATAATTCGTAGTTCGAAAGTAGGACTGAAGTGACATTCACTACAAGATGATGAGATAAAACATTTCAAAATGCACCTGCAGTGTTTTGCATTTTGTGACTTTCAGTCAAATAAGACAATTTTTCTAGTCATATATTTCGTCATTGAAGTTTTCTCAAAAATAGTGTTAAAATATGGTCTCTTCTCGTTCTTAAACCACACGATTCAGTGAAATCAACACGTTTATCTAGGTTTTACATACATGTGGACATCGATACACAGAAGAAGCTGGGATAACTTATTTTTTCTGTGAGGTGATTTAAATGGTAGCTTGTCCACTTTTCCTCAAACCCCTTCTCTAGGTACTCTCACAGAGTGTTACGATGAACTTGGGAACCGCTACCAGCTGCCTGTCTATTGCCTGGCTCCGCCTGTCAACCTCATCTCAGAGCGCAGCGATGAAGACCCCAGCGACAGCCCCGAAGCCCCCGTAGCACCCAAGAAAGAATTCCAACTCAAGGTACCATAACGGGCTCCTAACAGACATATCGGGTTCTTTTTCTGATTTTTCTGGAGCTTGTATAAGTAATAGCTATAATTACTTGTAATGTTATTGCAGAAGTAAATGTAGCAACATTTGTAACTGAACACATGAATGCTTTCCCACTTTTCCAGTTCATACAATGTGCTTATATCTTCTTTTTATGTTAACCCACAATTCTTTGGAATTTGGTCCTTTATTCATATCACAATAATCACACCTGAATCAGCAGTTTGAGTTGAAATGTGTGAGACACATGCTGTATTTTGGGAATAACTGTGCTGAAAGTGTGAGGCTAAACTTGAACATTTTATCCTCTTTCTTCATGTGTTTGTGCACATGGGACAGAAAATGAAACGGACATCGAGGAGGATGATGTACCAGCAGAAATACAGTACATATATACAGTGACTTCAAGCAACTTGTGAATCATAAACTGTTTCCTGTTTTTTACATTCATTTATGTAAGAGAATATCAACTCACAATTATGTAAATATATATGCTATTTTAATGTTACAAAATGTTACAGGCAGGTGACAAATTAAAGGAAAAAACGTGAGTAAATGAGTGGTCTCTTCCAGGATGACAGCACCCCCATCCATAGGGTATAAGGGGCCACTGAATAGCTTGATGAATATGAAAATGATGTGAATCATACTCTACGGCCTTCACAGTCACCTGATCCTAACCCAGGTGAACACCTATGAGAGATGTTGGACTGATGTGTTAGACAACAGCTCCGCCACCATTATCAAAACACCAACTGAGGGAATATCTTTTGGTAGAATCTTTCCTCCAGTAGAGTCCAGAGACTTGTAGAGTCAACCCTTCTTCAGGTTTGATTGATATTAACTCTAGATCCCCTCAGCACCCCAGGCACCAGTTTGATAACTCTTAGCTTTCCTCATTCCCTGTAGGTACGGCTGTCTACAGGTAAGGACCTGCGCCTCAGCGCCAGCATGACGGACACCATAGGGCAGCTTAAGAAGCAGCTGCAGGCCCAGGAGGATATTGATGCGGCCCACCAGCGTTGGTTCTTCTCTGGCAAGCTGCTCACTGACAAGACTCGGCTGCAAGACACTAAGATCCAGAAGGACTTTGTCATCCAAGTCATTGTCAACCTGCAGGCCCTGCAAGCCCCCCAGCTGTCACCCACCACCACTGCCTCATTGTCTCCGTCTGAATAGCTGAGGACGAACTGGAGGGATGATGCAGCAGATGACACACCCTGAAGGACCAGAGGTGCCTCCTAATGCTGGATAACTTATGCTTTTTAAAAACACAAATTGTTACTGAAATTAAAAGAACTTTTGTGGAGGTACAAAAGGACATGTGAAACTCTGAAGTGCTGCTTCCTTTGTCTAGCAGGTGTCATTGTATTTTATTTGGTTCTGCTGGGTTCTTGAAGTGTATCTGGTCACCACGGTAACTCCGGAGATCCTCTTCTTCTTGTTTCTTTGAGCCACCTGGAAAAAATAGCAGAACTTGTGCTGGTGTGCAGCCTTATCAGCTACAGTATGATGTCTGCACTAATGCTAAGTGCCAGTGGAAGAAATGCAAAGGTGTTCGTGTTGGTTCTAAAGCACATTTCTACTAGGATGCTCATGGACTCTACACTGCACTCCTTTTTTCTCCAGAAAAACAGGAGGGGGTAAGTGTTGGACAGAAGGAGTCAGATTGTAAACATTTGTCTTTTTCTTTGTCTTTTATTGAGTAAAAATAACAGCTTTTTTGCACATTTGAAGATTATCACTATACTTCTGTGGTAGCTTGTGTGCCTTCTACAAAATGACACAAAAAAGGGCTAATGTCCTGAAAGATGCTAGTTTTACAGCTAGGCTTCGGTGTGTATTTTGTTTTGTTTTTTAGATTCAGGAACCTTTAGATCAATCCAAGTTGTAACAGATACCTGCCTTTTTAATGATCTCATGACTCTTGCAGATAAAGCATATGGGATGTGAGTGCTGTGTGTGTGTGTGTGTGTGTGTGTGTGTGTGTGGGCAAAAGGAATAGGAATATGTATTTGACCCACCTGCTACATTTCTGTTTACCATGGCACACAGAGACAAGACTGTTTCCCAAGTTATAACTTTGCAGTCAATCACATATTTTTAAGGGAAATAGAAATTCCCATGTAAAAATTAAGGTCTTAAAACTTGCATTATTGACCACTACAGAGACAGCAACACAGTCCTGATATGATGCTTAGGGCTGCTTTTTTCACCATGTGATGAATGTAAATACAGTATTCTTGCCTTTTATCCTCAGTGTGGCCCAGAAAAACATGTGTCCTGTTTGTTCTTTAGGTGTTTGACTTTCTTCACCAGCATACAGATGACTCAACTGAGCTTCTTTTCCAGAAATGTTCACCTTCAAGTTTTATATGTGGGGGTTGGTGAGAGCTGTTAGGAGTTGGCCATATGGAGCAGTGAACCAAAACAATGAGCTAAAAAGCTGTAAAATGTGGATATTGGCCATTTTGTCTGACAGTTAAAAATCTCACTGAGCAGTCGGGGACTACCTTTTTATATAGTAGTACAAAGACATATCTGTTGGCATTGTGATTGCATCAAAGATGAGACACAACTAAGCAGACGTAGGTCACCGTCGCTTTGTTAGTGTCAGATTTGGGTTAGCTCAGAGGCCAGATATTTATCCAATTCAGGGTTGAGCATCGAGTCCTGCAGTGATTTTATGTGAAGCCTGCGTTGTGGCAGTCATGGTAGAACGCTCCCCCACCACATGTTTACAGCTTGATGAGCCTTTTTTTCATTCACTGCTCATGTCAGACAGATCTCAAGCAGTGTTATCACTGAGGAAATGAAACTGAATCATCTGTTTGAAACCTAACTGAGCCATACCCCAGTATATTAAGGAACATGTTTCTTTGGTTTTACTTTAAATGAGAGTTGCATTTTTGTACAGTATGTGTTTTCATCCTTGAAAGTCATCACAATCACCCTTTCTCATTGTTAGTTTCAGGCCCTTCCCTTTACTGATGGTTTTCTGGGGATATTTCTTGATCATTCTAAGCAAACTTGAATACACATTTATCTGTATGTGCAATACTACAGGCATAGGCCTCAGCATTTTTGTTTCTGACTTCAGATTTCATAAAACACCAGCTATGAGTATTGTTAAAATTATGTCAGAATACAGGTGAGAGCCTGTTAAAATCTAAAGCCTGTGTCACATAATCAGCTGCCTCTTTTAACCGTTTCCTATGTTCATGTTTGTCACTTTGAAATGCCTTGACCCTTCCTCTTTCATAAACAATAGCTAAACATTAAAAATGCCTACGTACCTTCCCAGTGTCCATTCAGTATTCTGCCCTGTACATCTCAGCTGTGAAGCCTATGGTGTCACCGGGTCTCAGGGTGGGGAAAACCTCTGCTGGCAACTTTATCACTAGTGTCTCTGGTTACAGCGCCCTTGCTCAAAATGGCCATTGGTGGATGTTTGTCCCCATACATCTGACTCTGTCCCTGCCCTTATTCTGAGCTTCAACTCGATTATAAACCAGTATTTGAGTTTGTGACAAGTAACACTAAGAAGTGTCCATTGCACCAAGTTCAACTTAAAGGTGCAACATATTAGTAAAAAATAAAAGGTCTTAATGGACTTTAAAGTGTCTCTGAAGGTTACTTCAGGGAACTATAACAGGTGACCCCTCATAATATGTTGTAGCAAAATCACCCACTAGCGGTTCACTACAGTGTCACTGCACATGAAGTCAGTAAACAGCCATCACTCAGATACCTTGCTCATCCAGTTCTTCAGTTGTATTATGTGCTGTTTCTTTTATATTTGCTGTGGAAAAAGATGAGAACTGAGGTGTTCATATTTGGATTCACAGATTTTGTCCAGAGCCACTATGAAAGATCACAATCTGCAGAATAATATTTGAATTAGCCAAATGGAACTTAAATTTATATTTCCTCCATTTTTTCCAGACACTTTTATTTAGATGTCGTGGGCTAGTGATTCCTGCAGCACACTTTTTGACTTGCAATAGGAATGCACAGGTGTTACCAATAACACTGCCAATGGTGTGTGACAGTGTAATGGTGAGAAGGAGGGGAAAAGCCACGAGGCCTCAAGGTGACACAAAGGTCAGCTAGGTCCTTTTCTGCTTTTCCAACCTCAAGGTAACAGTAAATGAAAAAGGGCAAAAAAAAAAAAAAAACAGCAGAGGGTTAGGTCTATTTCTTATTTTACCTGTTCATTGATAACCGTAAAGCTGTGAATTTCACTGTTTTAATTTTTGTAAACATTTAAGCCCACTGACATTGGTGTAGTCTGCAAGTTACATCTCTAATTTTTGTGAATACTGTTAAGAAAATTCAGTCCCAAGTTTGCAAAAAGTTGTTTTTTTGTTTTTTTTTTAGTCTTAACTCAAGGTCCACTTGTTAACTTTTTCTAGGTCTTTCAACCTCATCTTGGAGTCTTCCTCAGCAGATGGAATTTACTTAGTAAATTTCCAAGTCCTGAGTAAACAGCAGGAAGTGGCGGAAAGCCCTGGAAAAAATATGGTTTGTGGATGTTATCATTTTTAATTTGATCAAACTACTGGCTCTGAGACAAACCGATTCACATAGGGTGCACATGGCACATCCACTTTTTCTTAATTTGTTGTGCACACATTGCGGTTTCCCACATTCAGGAGCAGTGCTAATGGGCATTGATCATAACACCAATCACAATGCCACACTTATTGTATGCACTCGTTGGAATGTATGTAAATGTAAGGCTTGACAAATTCATGACATACACGTGTGTTTCTGTGACACAGATGAAATTAAAGGGCATATAAAGTCGTTTATAAAGCTGGTTATACAGTAAAAGCCATAACATAACATATTTGTGTTACACTTTTGGCAGCAAAACACATTCCCTATCCTTTCATGTAAGACCTCAGAGTCCCATAAGACAATGTGGTTAGAAAACGTTTTCTCACTGTTTTGACACATTAACAATCATGTCTAAACTACTAAATAAAAAAGTTTGTTTTTCAGAATGTCTATACCACATAAGTATGTGTAAAAGTAAAATCAGTATATTTAGTTAAAGAGAGAAATCAAGTCAGTATATGGACATTTCCTGATGATGAATGACACCCACAAATTATTTTACTACTTGTGTTCATTTCTATGGTGATTCATTCTAAATCATGTTTTAAACTGTTAAATAAAATTAAACTTGTTTTCTGATTTTTTGGTCCTGGGTTGAGTGAATGAAATGTTTGACTGCATGCTGCAAAAAGTTCTGACTTAGTGTTACCACAAGGTGGCGCTCTGCTCTTGTATAAATACTAGTGTGAACTGAAGCTAGATGAAACGCTTAGTCTTTTTTTTTTCAGATATTTTCAGACATGAATCAGATGATTTACTGTATGTGTGTTTCTTTCCTGGTCGGATGGGTTCAGGGGATGAATTGTGGAGTGTGATATATGAAGAGCCAACTTTACTTTTGCAGATTCACATTTTCACTACAGGGCTTAAAAAGTTTAAGCTGGAAACTGAAAAATGTTTTGCTTCATTTCACAAATTACTTTACACACCCGTGAAAATAATGGACAAGGTAGTTTTGGGTTTATGAGCATAAAGTGTTCAGCTACAGGCTTAATGTGTATACATGTTACATCAAATTCAACATTTATATTCTTAGTTGCTGAGTGCACATTACTGTAATGCATCTGCACTGCATTTCCCAGCAGCCCCCTGTCAGTCAAACAGCATGGGTGGGAACATTATGCAATGGTCTTTCTGGAACTTTCTGTTGATGAGGTTTGACTTTCTGTAGGTGGCAGTGTTTTCTTTTGCCGTTTAACTGGTGAGCATCAGTGATTATGAGAATGACAATTTCTCTTTTCCAAACACTCCAGAACTATAACATCCATAATTTCCCATCTGTGAGGCTGGAAAACATACCTGACACTATGTTAGTGTTAAGAGCACAGGAATGTTTTTGTTAATATTTTGTCAAGGTAAATAACCAATTGTGGGATTGTTTTATTGATACTTTATGTGGAAATATTGCCCGTTATTACCATCATGCTTGCATTTTTCCACAGCTAACATCCTCTCAGTACATGAGGGAACATTTCAAGTAGCACAACTCTTTCTCTTTCTTCCTCTGCAAATACAGTCAATACAGGCTCTCTGGAGGGCTGGGAAAAAGCCCCCATTGACGGTGGAATTTCACAGGGAGCACTGTGGTTATCGTCACTCATCCAGTCAGTCTTCCTCTAAAGTCTCCCCCCAACAGTTCCAGGATACTCTGACACCACAGCAGAAGGTTTGTAGGGTTTGGACAGAGACCCAAGATGCCGAAGGGGTCATAACATTGATTGAATCAATGTTTTATGTAACTCCCACATTATAATGTGTGTTATATTTCCCTCTTTTCTGTGTGCAGCTACAGTGAACAGATTTAAAAAAAAAATTATTTTCAGTTTGACAGTTGATTAGTTAAAGCCAGCTGTACTCTGCAAAATATCTCCCAAGAGGGGGAGAAAAGTGCAGACCAACCCAGTTTGTCACTCAGAATAACAAAGTAAGGTTGTATCCTGTACATTTGTCTGGCATTAATGGAAATCTGCTGTCAGTATGGTGGAAAGTCTGCCCCCCGAAAAGTGGTGAATCAAAGGTGAAGATTAAAAAATTCATTTACACCCCTACCAGACGTATATGGGTTTATGTATGTGGGTTTTGTGCTCCTGAACATACAAGTGTATCCAACAGGTTTGTATCACCTGAACTTTGGTGAAGGCACTACCCAGGCTTACCATAGCCCTGCCTCACAACCATTCACACATAGGCATTGAGGTCTCATTCACCCGAAACACAATTATGTCCTAAAGCCGACTACACGGAATTAGCAACGTCCCAGCCGCCATGACAGCCTCAGGTGCACATGAGGACACAAGAGACTGACACTGCAACAAGGGCAGCAACGACGCAGATGTCGCAGCTTCAGGAAAACAACACAAACGCCAAACAATGTACTGTAGATAGCCAGCCTACTTTTCCAAAACCCAGTTTAAAATGAAAGCGGCAAATGTTGAAACTGAGTAGTTACATTACTGCCTTTCAAAATACACTGTAACGTCACAGCCTGTTTACAGTCAGTGTTTCCAAACTTTGACATAGCACTCAGACTGTTTATGACTTCACCTGTAACCAGTGCTAGCAGGGAGGGTTTTTTGTCACATCTTGGACTGAAACTAGATGTTTCTGAACCTAAAGTAATCTGTAGTGTAGATTTAGAGGAACTGGAGGTCCTTAGTGGGTCATTAGGATTATGAGCAAAGTGTGTGTGCTCTGTGAATATCTGAGGACTCCAACCAGAACAGTTGAAATAAAATCCTCTCAGCACAGAGCTGGTGTGGCCTGTGTGTGTGTCTGTTTGCATGCATGTGTTGTGTGCTTGTGGGCTTGTTATGGAGGCTTTACAGCTAATCTCTGGACTCCTGTTCTCATCCACTTACCCACCACTCACCTGGTACACACCTAAACCTTATCTAATACTATGGTGTTTATGTGAGTCACCTAATATCTCCTACTGTAAACTAAAACTGTGAACATAGTCACCCCATGGCCTGACAGACCACGTCACAGTGTCCAGTGGGAACAGAAGGTGTTCTAAGGAGAAGCCAGGTTCCAAGGCTTAGCATGGCAGGAAGGTATGTGTTGTGGGTGTGTGTGGTTTTGTGTGTGTGTGTGTGTGGGAGCAGGGGGGGGGGTTAACAGGTTAAAGGTCTGAGAGCTAACGTGTTGCATTGACAACACAGAGAAAGGAAAAAAACTTGAATTATTTTCAATCAAGCATCAGAATTTGCAACATTAAATGAAATTAAAGTGAGAAATGAAAATTGTACAGCTGTTTGTTGCCAAATTGACTGAGGATGTGTCCTAATCACTTTATATGACATGTAAAAACAAAGTCATCATCATTACACTTTGCAGTAGGGAGGCTGTATTTCTACCTAGCTACTTCTTGCTGTGAGCTTGTCAGATGCTTCAAATCATTTCTGGGTCATAGGCAACAAGAGAACAATTAATGTAATCTAAGGTTGGAGCTTGTGATTAATGCATGCACCTTATTAATTGGAAAAACATGTTATGGGAAAAAAAGCTTTTTTGGGGGCAGCTGTGACTCAGGAGGTAGAGCAGGTTGTCTCCTAACTGGAGGATTAGCGGTTCAATTCATTTACCAAAGTATCCCCAGTTGTTCCAGTTCAGATAGACAACAAAAGCTTTGAGTTATATGTGCTTTTTCCTTATACTTGATTTGTGGTGTTCTGTGCTCTCTTAT